GTCAAGGTTAAATGAAAACACAGAGTCAAATTACATGTATTCTCGAGTTGATATTCCAGTTGCCTGAACGCGTTATGTCAGTGCAAGTGGCAAGATAAGTTTTTTTGTGGCACAACTTGCTGAATTCAATTAACAGTCTAGTCGAACCCTCAAACGGGGGTAAACGGATGTTGGAAATCCATACCCTCAAACGGCGGTACGGCGCATGCGCAGACACTCAAAAAAGTGCCATTTTCACGGAAAAACGTGTGGTCCGTGATGGATTATTTCGTAGCTCTGTATGTACTCAAATTTGATAGATTAAAGATGTTTAAAGAGATTGTATTACAAAAAAGTATATGTTTATTGTAAAAATCGAGACTTTTTCTCTCCCAAAGTGAGCGTATTCTGTGCCTTGACCTCCATGTTTGATACAACTAGATTTTTTATGCATAATCTAATAAAACGGATGAATAAACAAACAATGTTTAGTTTTAAGTTAAACTACATATAATTCTGTTCCCCGGTAGTACAAATTTTGTGTAATGAGCATGTTATTTATTATTTTTCGATACTTTCTTCTGTGCCTGTCCGAATTTCCTCTGTCTTGTAAACAAACTTTTGTGTTTCAGAAATGAGGTAAAAAAAAACGAAAGTTAATTTATTATTTTTTTTAAAGTGAAAACAAAGTGTAGACGATTCATTATTGCAAGCTTGTTATTTTTTTTTTTTTAAATATTTTTTAAAAAAGAATTATCTTTCTTGCACTTCCGCTTTCTCGCGTTGCATTAAGGGAAGGAAAACCCTAGTTTGGGGGTATATCCCCGTTAGAGGGTTCGACTAGACTGACTAACTTGTAATACTCAGATTCAGCTTTAACATGAAGGGGTTTCATATAACAGTTGTTGTCGTTTCGTTTTTGAAAGGGACATGTCTCTGGTTTCTGATCACACTTCACGTCGCTTGCCGCCATATTTTACCTTGAAAAGGGCAAATAACTCTTTTTGTATCAATTTATAGCATATCGAACCCGAACCGGTATATTCACAAAAAAATACTGTGATACGTATTGTGAAGAACAAAATCGGGATACACCGGTTAACCGGTAATATCGCACAGCACTAGTCATAATATAATCAAATTAGCTTAAATACACTACCTGAATCTGCTTTCATATTTATGACAGATATGAAGAAATTGAACAGAACTCAAAATGAAAGTCCATCAAATAATACAAAATAGGAGTGGAGCAATTACGAACCTCCAAAACATCAGAGGTGGGACCAGGTGCCATTGAGGAGTGAGCATCCCCTGTTGACCGGCCAACAATCATGGTTTTGTTGTTCTTAACAATCTTGGGAAGAAGATTGTTTGAAGAAAATTCCCATGTATGCATTTTACTATAAAACTTCAATTGTGGACCTCCTACCTTACTCAAGGGGGTCATAATTTGATCAAACTTGAATCTTTTGACACCTGTCAGAGGATGATTTCACATAAGTTTCATCTTGAAAAGATCTTTATGAAGGTTTTTATATTATGTATTCCTTTGTAAAACTTTGATTATGGCCCAAACATACATCCCCCCTTCACACACACAGGGGGATCAAGGGTTCCCCTTAATTTCTCATGTAGCAGGAGATTCAAAAGAAAGTAGGAGGCAACAGATGCTAGTGCCAAAGACGCAAGCCTTCAAGGCAGTCAGGAGACATGCTCTCCTGGGAAAATTTTGAAAATAAGAAGCCATTCGGACCTATTTCCCCCATTTCAGACAGAAAAATTGCCCAGCAGTGGAGAGAGGATGAAAATGTGAAAAGTTTACGATGACAACCAGACAAAAAGGACAATGAAGACAACAACTGAAAATTAATGGACAAATTTTGATCAGAAAAGCTCACTTGAGCTTTCAATTGGTGACAATGACAATCAGAGACCAACCTAGACCAAAATTTAGGGAGACTTCTCTTCTTCCTCTGTGAAATTAAGGGAGAAATTTTAAAATCTGAATTAAAATTTGAAGTCTTGGGGCGCATATGTGGCGCATGTTGAATGATCATTTTGCATGTATAAAACTTTTTGAAAATCAAATAATTTTATTATTTATATCTTAAATATAATTCAACAATTTTTCTGTTTTTATTACATCTGATTAAAATTGAATAAAAAAAAAAAATAATCTTTAAAATGTCCCCCCTTTTAGAAGTAAATAAATACCTAAACTAGCCAAAAAAAAAAAAAAATAAAAATAAAACAATGACAATGTTCAACATGTAAAAGTTTCTTGTTGATAAACTTGTTTATCAAACTTTTTTTAAAAAATTAATTTCTTGCATTGTATGCATAATCAACTTTTAAATTCTGTTTCTACATTTTAGATTTTCAGTCTCCTGGCATAGTCATAATTTTGTTGTATTCTTTCAAAATTTGTTAAATTCTTTTTCTAATTGATGCACTTATGATTGAACCACTTACAGAATAATGTTTACCACCCTTACCAAAGTAAAATTATTGCAGCAATATTGCCGCTATATTGCGGCAACATTGCAGCAACACATTTTTGTCACCAGAAAAAAGCTTTTTGGGTTAGTGAAATATCACCGCTAGCGGCAACAACTTCTGGTGACATTCTGGCAATACTGCCAGAAAAAAATGAAATATCACCGCTAGCTGCAACAACTTCCGGTGACATTCTGGCAATACTGCCAGAAAAAAACTTTCTGGCAACATCTAGGATTACCCATGAACCATTTGTTGAGCATGCTCAGTCATTTACTTCCTCTTTTTAAATAAAGTGGAGGGAATTCAAAGGCAAGCATGTTTTGCTTCATTACTGACTTGTATTAAGTTAATTAGAGTTGTTAATTGTGTACAGTGGGATTAGTCAAGATGAGTGGTAAGACTGCATAGTGTGGAATGACTAGAAAAAAGAATTCAAGCAGAATTATAGGAATGTGTACTCTGTCTCCATATCATCAGACTTGGTGAGTCAAAACCAATATTCTTTTTGAGATGAATGATTCAATGGAGATAAAATTGGAAAAATTATATGTGTTTCAATTAGTGCTTGTGCATGCATACTAGACTTGTTTGTCTATATATCCTAGAGTAGCAGGAAAAGATGAATTAAAGCATGTAAATATTTGAAAATTAATGCAGAGTTACTGGAAATTTTCACAGTGGCATATTAATATTGTTTCTATAAACATTTTTTATGTGCCCGTCTCGATAGATCGGGGGTACATATTGTTTTTGTCCTGTCTGTTTGTTTGTAAACTTTAACCTTAACCATTACTTTTGAACCAATGAGAGGTAAAGATTTCATATTTGGTATGTCTACTCCACTAATTAAGTTCTTTCAAATGACATCAAGGTCTATGACCTTGTAAACGTGACTGTGACCTATATGCTAAAAATAGATTTTTTGAATATTCATCATAACTTAAAATTAATGAAAGATAGAGACTTTATATTTAGTATGCATAATTCACTAATAAAGCTTTTTCAAAAGACACCTAAAGGTCAATGACCTTGAGACCTTGGCTGTGACCCATATCCTTAAAATAGATTTTTTGAACCTTGGACATAAATCTTGAGCCATAAAAGTTAGAGAACTTGTATTAAGTATGCACCCTTCATTAATTAAGCTCTTTCAAATAACACCAAGGTCAATAACCTTGGGACCTTGACTGTGACCATATACTTAAAATAGATTTTTTTAAACTTCAACGTAACTTTTGAGTCATAAAAGATGGAGAATTCATATTTGGAATGCACCCTTCACTAATTAAACTCTTTCAAGTAACACCATGGTCAATGACAATTTGACCTTTACTGTGACCCATATGCTAAAAATAGCCATTTTGATCCTTTGCCATAAATTTTGAACTATAAGAGATAGAGACTTCATATTTAGTATGCATACTCCACTAATTAAGTTCTTTCAAATGACACCAAGATCAATGACCTTGTGACCTTGACTGTGACCCATATGCTATAAATAGCTTTTTCAAACTTTATTGCCACCAGGCGCATAGTGTTTCACAAACATATTTTGATTTTCATTCTGATGATCAACATAATTTTCTATCTGTTCTAAGAAAAGCAGAAGTAGCTATTTTTTATTGACCCTGTGGCTTGCTATTGTTTGTTATATTCCTCAGCACAGTTTGTTAATTGTTAGATTGATAGATCATTATTTCTATTAAATACCAATTTATATCTAACTTTCATATGAAAAAACGATATAATAATGCCGGAAGATGTTGCCAGAAGAAAAATATTTTGGTCATGATTTGCAGCAATATTGCCGCAACCCCTTTCTGGCAATATTGCCGCAAAACTAATTAACATACGAAAAACGATATAGCCGCAATATTGCGGCAATAATGCCGGAAGATGTTGCCAGAAGATCAATATTTTGGTCATGATTTGCAGCAATATTGCCGCAACCCCTTTCTGGCAATATTGCTGCAAAACTAATTTACATACGAAAAACGATATAGCCGCAATATTGCGGCAATGTATTGCCAGAATGTTGCTGCAATATTGCGGCAATAAAGCCAGAAGATGTTGCCAGAAGGTCAATATTTTGGTAAGGGCAGATGTGTAATTTCTTAGACAATTAATAACTCCACAATTTAACAGTAAAAATATGTCTGTATTCACAACATGAATGAATTATTTGACAACAAAAAGATCTAAAATCATCTTTGGCATGACATCATAGCTGTCCAGCTGTTTTGCATCTTGTTAAGTATAACTTGTAGTTAGGTGATTTTAAAATTACAGCGAAGTTTGGAGGTTAGGACCTAAAGCAATTATTTTGCCTCAGTTTTCCCCTGGGTTGGTCCATGGAGAACAGACAATGGACAAATTTTAATCAGAAAAGCTCACTTGAGCCATTGGCTCATGTGAGCTAAAAATCTACGACTGGATGACTGAGCTGTCATCTGCTGTACCTGTACTCCTTCTATATGCTAATGGGATGTGAGAACAAATTCTATATATGTCCTAGAACTTACTTTATAACATTAATTTCATACATGAAGATGAGTTTCCTTTCTGGGGATACTGATCCTTCAAACTCATTGTTACTGTTAGTCTTTGGTGCTGGAGACTTTTGATGTTTCAGCCTGCATCTATTCATCTGTCTCAAGTCACTGCTTCACTTGTACTTCTGCTATCTGTTTTATCAATAATTAATTTAATACAATTGTGTTATAAGATCTAAGATTAAGAATAAGCCTATATATGTGTCAAACAGACAGAAACTTTAACCAAAATCTTTACATGTACATGTATATCATTTTCTATAAACAGGTACAGTAAAACTTGTTTAGTATGAACACAGATATAGTAAATTCACAGATATAGCCAGGTTTTTGGGGGTCCCTGGCATTATACTGACTTTACAATTCTTTCTAATATTTTACAGTTATAACAAACTCTGATATTAATTAACAGATTTACAGATATCCCTAAGTGATTTTGAGTTCCATAGAGGTAAAATGCAATGAAATTTACATCTTTAAAAATCTGAAAATTTTATACACTGAACTAATTTTTTTTATCAAGTATTTGTAAAATGATTTAATTTAAAATAAAACCTGATTTATCCAACATGTCCAAGTTATGCTTTGTATCAATTGCTTCCCTAACATGTTTGGTTGTTAAAATACATGTACTTGGAGGAAAATGTGCATATAGCGAATTCACTATATAATTATATACGTACATGTAGTTATACAAATTTATGATACGTATGTAACAATATATAAATGGTGCCTGTTTTGTAGGGTAACTTTTGAAATTGACACCCCAAGGAAAACCATTGTCAACCGACGCGTCAGCAAGTTTTACCATAACAGTTCACTCTTCAGTGAGTAATCAGCCTATGGTTATCTTATTACAGAGATATAAATTTTGTTACAAAATTTATATCTCTGTTATAAGTTGCCATTTCTCTGCACTCAACATATACAATGTATAACGTTGAGTGCAGAGAAATGGCAAAATATATTATTGATCAACATCCTATCCTTGAGAAATATAAATGCTTTTTAGCACACCTCAGGTTTTCAGATCACCCTTCATCTTTATCTAGCTGTCTGTCTGTCTGTCCTTCTAGGCCTAAAATAAAATATTAATTTTTGCAGTTGCCTACTTACCCACTGAAAATGCACCCGACCCAAACTTTTTTTTTACCCATTTTGTAGTTTGTTTTTTTTTTCAAATATTTAAGGATACTGAAAGAGTTTCATTGTCAATTTTTTTCTTTATAAGTAGTTTATACCAAGAGTGAAGCTGATTCATGTATAATAGTAGGCCTTAATAAAACTTTATTTTGTGTTATCTAACAGAAATCTTACATTTTTTTCAAAAAAAAAAGAATGCCTTCCTACAAGTCCTACCTACCTACCAAGTCTAAAAATTATAGGTTGGCAACTGCAAACAAAGAAGCTCGGCCCAATCTCACTCAGTATCTTACAGTCCATCCGTAAACTTTCGACATTTTCAACTTCTTCACAACAACCACTGGGCCAATTTTAACCATACTTAGTCAGGTTAATACAAAGCATCCCTCAGTGAAGGTGAGTTCAAATTTTTCAATGAAGGGAAAAAACAAAAATAGGGCAGGGTCATTAAAAAAAATCTTAAGAGCCACTGGCCCAGAAAAGCTGATACTCATTTGGAAGTATCTTGGGGTAGTTTTAAGATACTGAATTGTTCAAACCATGACCCGCTGGGGGTTAGGGTGAACCTGGTGGAGCTATAATAAGGAATCTTAGTTTTAAAAAGTTAGTATTTCTTCCATTGGGCCAGATAAACCATACAGGCCAACTTTTAAAACAAGAGCCCCATCGCTCACATGAGTAACTTTGGTGATGCAGTTCTTTACCGGATTTCCCCTCTTCTTATATCTAGTGTGGCCCTATCCCCACCCCCAGTCATGATTATGATTTTAATAATTTAGAATCTACACTACCACAGTGTCTAACCGACATACTAAACAAACCGGAAGTTCCTGCGTTTCTTCGTTGACAACATGATGCAGTCATATAGTTATAAAAATAAACCGGCAATTAATCAAAGACATGTTAAGTATTTAAATGTGTTGTCTATTAAAACACATAGATATATGATGAAAGGTTCCCCAGGAAACACAATTTTGCAAACATGTAGCTTTGTTTTTAAACAGAGTGCAAAACGCAGTGCAGTGTAGTTGGGTGAAGACTTGAAAAGATATATTATGGCGTTAACGTTCATCCTATATTCGGTAATACTTATATTAAATAATGAGAAATAAAAGTATTGGGGTATTCAAACGTAATTTTTTCCTAATTATGATTGGATTATCCTTAATTTTACTGATTTAATCAAAATGCGACTGTATCCGTCGTTCAATATTTACTGTATGTGTCGTTGTGCGGGACAGTATTTTCGTTGTATGAGTCGTTAGTAAATAATGTGCGTTCTTAATTGAAAAGTTCTAGCATAAATTTATTCTATTTTTTTCTTTCCTTCATGACTCCAAATTGAAATATCATTGTCTCTTGTCTTTAGGCTGTTTTCTCTTGTGGAAATGTGATAAAATTATGGACGTTTTGCGATTAGACCATTTTTTTTTCAATATAGAAGCTCTTAAAAGAAAAGTGAATAAAAAATCATTTACATAATTAAACTTCCTATTTACAGAGACTAAAGTAAAAATCTTTTTTCAACCAATTTCCTATAAAAGACTGATAAAATCTTGTCGCTAAGAAAGCATTAAACGTTACAAGAACTTATCCTCCGATAAAAATTAAGGTAAAAAACGTTAAATTATAAATTATAGTTTCAAATTTATTATTACTGTTATAGGTATTTAAGGATACCATTCTTTTACTGTACATGGTCGTTATGCGTTTATCAATCCTATTCTTTCAACTTTCAACAGATTCATAATTTACAAACGTTCCTATTTTCTATGTGCAAACAATATTTTTTTCTAACACTACAGGGTGCTGTTTTACAAAAGAGCTACGACTAAGACCAACATTTAGTTTTGCTTGTAACTTTCTAATTTACATAAAATGACAATGGTTCAATTTTTTAAAAAATAGGAATACATAGAACGATGTTTTAAAGCTATCAATTTTGAAGAGACTAATTAATTTGGTATTTTCTACAATCATTTGAAGTTTTTGGTCTTAGTCGTACGTTCTTTTGTAAAACGGGCCCCTGTCATATAAATGAGGCATCAGTTCCAAAAATGATTGCAAAACAAAGTTTACAATTTCATGTCCTACTTAACGGACTAAGTTCAATCAGCGTTAAACCTTGTTGCCAGTGCATGTAAATTTTCCAACATTGATCGCAGAAAGCCATATATATTTATATTTTGCACTTTACCAGAACAAATAACAGTAGTTTGTGATTTTACATCATTCATGGAGCGTTTATGCCTTTTGAGGCCTTGTCTTCTTATAGCATGACTGTAAGAACCGGAAAGGAGGGGTTGCCCCAATAATTTTGCGATAAATGGAATACTATAGCAAACATAGCTACATGCACTATTAATAATGCTACTATATGCTCCCTCAGTATAAAAACCGTATGATGACGTTTTTTGCTTGTCAAGGAAATTTTCAGAGTTGATATTGCTGCCACCCCCTACCCCCTCCCCTACATTGAATATAGTGCTTCCTAGGGTAAGCACAAAAACAATGTTGCATCATTTTACTTTTGATGTCTTTTAAACTGTCTCTAATATACAGTCCTTCATCCTTAAGAAATTTTTAAAAAAGGGAAAGTAATCATTATTGCGCATTTGTTTTATAAAAAACATTGTTAATGCAACATTTTAAAAATAAATGTAAGTCTCGTGAGTTACCCATTTGACCTTTTCTGTTTTTGTTCCCGTTTGTCGATATATGTCGTGTGTTCATAGTTTTATTTATTGTTTTATACCCCCGCTTGAAAAGCGGGAGGGTATATAGTCCGTGTTACGCTTTGGGGTGCCCATCTCTTATCCGCAACCAATCTCATACCACTAAATGTAATTTAACATAGAATCTTTATTACATATTGCCATTGTGCACCTCCTTTTTTACTCTTTGATCCGACACATATTTTGGGTTTCCCATGGCAAAACATAGACATTGTCATTATATTCATATGAGAGGCGGGGGTATCATTTACTGAGCTCATTGCTCAAAGTACCTCTTTGGGGGTGGGGGGGTGGGGATTTGCTTTTCTTTTCTTTTTTTTTAATTTGTTGTTGGTTTTTTTTTTGTTATATTTATTTATTTGTGTGTGTGTTTTGTTTTAATCTTTTATTGACAAATATTAATAATGTCGTTAATTCTTCTCAAATTTTAGACGCCAAAATTAGGTTTAAATGAAAGCATGAAAATCTCTGACCGTGAGTTTAAATGTATGTATTACATGTGGTACTCAGGTGACCGTCAAGACTTGTGGATCTCTTGTTTGTTCAATTACATGCCAGTACAACTTGCGTTTTTTTTTAGGAACGAACAATACAATTCGAACAATCTCGTTTGAAACGACGCATACAGTGATTAAAATGACAAGAGTGTTTTAAATTGTGTGACTTCATAACTTAACATTTAAATATAAAACTCCGAAGCATGCATGTCATTTTTTTGTACTATAATTTGCAATATTTGCCATTTCGGGAAATAATCATATCTCTTGTGGACTAGAAACAACGTACAAACAATCCATGCATGTGAAAATATGTGAGCAAACGATTGCGTTTTTAAATTTTCTACCTACATATTCATTTAATTTTAATACAAACAACTGAAACTTATTCAGCGGGATATGACGAATGATATTTACGTTAATTCAGCATGTTTGTTTGTCAATAATGATGCTAAATTTGCATTTTAACGGGTACTTGTTCTTCTCTAGGCCTGTTTACACGCTTCGATACGCAAGAACTTCCGGTTTGTTTAGTATGTGGGTTAGACACTGTGACTACCCCAGGATGCTTCCACCTAAGTTTTAGCTTTTCTGGCCCACTGATCAAGCATGACCCCCGGGGATAGGATAGGGCCACACTAAGGAATCCAAGTTTCACATAGAAATAATTATAGGATTTAAAATCTACCATTAGATAAATATTTTGCCATATTTCCATAACTTGAAAACCTTTTATAAACGGTTTATAAAGTGTGAATTCCGACGTCAAGTTTGTCAGTTTCTAACCTGTCTATGTATTTCTAAAATTTCAACATCTGGCATAATTGTCTAGGTCAGCGGTAGCAATTAAAACCATTATAATGACTGTTAGCACAGTTGACATCTGTTATCAGTGGCAATAGACAAAGTATATCCTACTAAACATTTAAAAAAGCCATGTTTTCTGTACACAGCAATACTGTATTATTCAAAGCGAATCAGTAAAAAATCTTGATTTTGGAAAAATCAGTAAAAATTGGGGAATTATATTCATAGACAAGCGGTATAGACATGTTTCAAAATCAGTAGACTCTCGAAAAAATGGGAAAAGTTGGCATGTATGAAAAACTGAAATTTATGTGGAGGCATCCTGGGATAGTGTTGAATCTGATTTGTTAAGGTCATGACCGCTAAGGGTAGGATGGTGCCACAAAAGGGAGACCAAGTTTTATATTGAAATATATAGGAAAAATCTTCAAACTTTTTCTTCTAAAGAACTATGGCCCAGAAAAGCTGAAACTTATGTGGAAACATCCCAGATTAGTGTAGATTCTAAATTGTTTAAATTCTAATCATGATTGGGGGATGGAGGAGGGAACAATTAGCTCCTTCACAATAACTGAGGTACTACTCTTTTGCTGGGCAAATTTGTAAAAATTGGCAAGGTTTTTGTTGATAAATAATTAAAATGACGTATACAAGACAACTACATTTACTTTTAAGTCATATTTTGCCAAAATATGTCATTTTGCCCTGCAAAAGATTAGTACCGCAGTTATCGTGAAAGAGTCTATAGGCATTACAAGGGGGATATTGGATAGATAGCGATTTCATCAAAGTAACTCAGGTGAGGGATGTGGCGCATGGGCCTCTTGTCAAGTTTCAGCTTTTGACAGCTGAGAAAGTATATCCATTGAGACATAACAGGTAAAACTTCACTGGGAATGTATTTTTAATGCATTACATACCTTAACAAAAGGGATGCGGTCACAACATGATGTTTCGAACCCATGTTTGTACCCATCACTGCATCAGACACAGACAAATCTGACCTCCTCTAGGCCCCTATAATCAGATGATAACAACATCGTCCTTCTCGATTGCAAGAAAAATCTATTGACAGATTAATGAGAATTATGATTACCAAACCTATTTCATTTATGTGTAAAATAAAACAACTCATTTTCTCTCAAAATACTCAAGAAACATGATATGATTTACTGACTAGTGGCTTGTTTAGTGTTTATATATAGCTCTTACCTCCGATCGAAATGGTCCTGACTCCTGGCCTGGTGGACACTCGCATTCAAGATTTTATATGACACACGATTCATCCGTCGTAAGTTGGAGAACACCTTCTGCATTGAACGACTACTTTACTTTTCCCTGAAAGCTCTAAATTAACCACCAAACACCCGTTACACCGTGAAGACGAGCGACAACAGTCCAGCTCCATTTTACATCGCAAGTCACGTGACGGAATACAAGTTTTATATAGACCTTGTCATGTGACGCAAAGCGGCCAATGGGGTTAAACTGCGGTGCGTTCTGTATACAGATAATGTAGTAAACTCAAAACCGGAAAACACCGAGAATCATCTAGCTATCTTTTAAGATAATTATTCTATTTTGCTTGTTTGCATTGTTTATTTACATGTCAAACGCATACAAATAAAATTTTTGACTGAATCAAACACAAATCTAGTTTTAATATAAAGGCTTAAGATTTTATCAATAAGACCAAAAAAATATAATATATATTTTTAAAAAAGAATTGAACGACAATGTTTAAAATGACTGCTAAAGATAAAGCGATATCATCAACATTATTATAATATTTTTAATCTAACACTGTCTAAGAGATCGATCAAATATAGCCTGTTTAAATAACTGAGTAATATACATGTATACAGTGTACATGAATAGTGCGTGCGAATCCTTCAAATTAAGTTTAAATGCCACCGGTGGAGATCACGGGTGCATTAAGTTATGCAACATCATCATGTATACTACTGTCATAATGTTGCTACATGTAACCTGTAATAAATCTATCAATGTATGCCATGTCATGGCGTTGTGTCGTACATATATGTCAGATGTATATATTTCCCCGTGTCAGTAATTTTAAGGGCTTTAATTTATAACTACACAAGTTGCTGTCCTTTAAAAAAGGACTGCAATACGTGGACCATATGCATGTGTTTCTAACCGAAATTCAATAAAAAAAAATCTAGGTGCAGTGAATATTCATGTAGGTTTGTTCACATTTTCTACAATGATCTGCCAACTTATGACTGATTGTAGTCTCAAAACAAAATCGTTTAATTTTATCTCTGGTTAACCTTTAGTTTTGTCAATAAAAAAATAGGCTATTGTAATACATGTAACCCATAATGGCTGTGACTTTACACCTGTTCTGGATTGAAATCTATCCTGAGAAAAATAGACAAGATGGTACACGTGTAGCACAACTCTGTAAAAGTCAGATATTTTGTCAGAGCTCCCCCCCTCCCACATTAATAAAACCGTTGCTACAGATCTCTATTTGACAGTTTTTGGATTGCTGAAATATCAAATTATTTTGCGAGTCTTGATGCACAAAACTAATGCCGGTGAAAACTTGTTTATCTTTTAACAGCTTTAACTAGTCGTTGAATGACGTTTTTCAATGCAAGTTGCTAAGTTACATGAATTGTTCCTATATAATGCAAGTTCTTCATAGTTTTTGAAATGCTTGTGCCATTGAACATGTAGAATCAATGTTTAGTGTGTATATAAAAGTATATGGATAAGAGAGAAATTCGGATTTGCCAATGAATATATAAATGTCATATGCGCGATTTGTTAACAAATGGCATATTCTAATTTGAATAGGGCGAATTATTCGACGGGCAAGTTGCCTAAGGTGCGAACTCTCTAGCATCCTTGCGCATGCGTAGCCTGTTGTTTGCCCATGGCATCCGGTTTAACTTCGCTTATATACTGCGTGGACCTCAGGGTCCACGCAATAAATGTGTATTTTTTTTTTACAAGATGTCCAACCTTGGTCTTGACGGTCACCTTAGTATTAATTTCCTATCATCATCGGAAGCCGGGGGGTCTCTCCGTTACACTATACAGTGAAACGGAGAGAAAACCCGTGGGTTCCGATGATGAGGACCCATAAATTATAAAATAAGTTCTGACAGATTAAGGTTTGTTGCCAAAAAGCAAGAGATGAATCTAATATTTAGTATCCACTCATAAATGAAGTTCTTATTTTCCCTCTATTTATCACTATCGATCACCACTTTTACTATTATATGTAAGAGGCATAGACGTCGGAACCGGGGTTGGGGAGAGGGGGGGGGGGGGGGCAAGGGAGGCTTTTATTTCTCCCAAAAAAAGGACCTTAAATATATACATGTACATGTGGGCATTGAAAATTGGGATTTGCACGAACCTTTTTTTCAATTTGCTTCCGACGCACATAAGAGGGTTATAGGGGTCGTGATCATTTTTAGACTATTTTGATTTCATTTAGAGGAAGAGCTCTAAATGAAGATATACAAAAATTACGAAATTTGAAAACTAGAAATGAAGTTATTTCTGATGGTTAATATCTAGAAATCCAGCCTCCTTAACAAACTACAGCACGTACATTGTACACTGTATAAGTGCTCGATCCTGTACTATTTTACACCCTATTATGTAAATAAACGGTATTATTCTCGCACATTGGCCATTCTTGGTCTTTGACGAACATTTTTTAATAGTAATATTTTTGTCTAATTTTTATTTATCTATTATTTACAAGTCTATCTGATCATTAAATCTTTCAAAGTAATTTTTGTACATGTATTATTATAAATAAAATTTCTTGCATAATTCTATTATTATGTTCCCCAAACGAAGTTGGGGAACATATTGTTTTTACTCTGTTTCTTATTATTATTATTATTTTTCTTCTTCTTCTTCTTCTTCCTGGAACTTTTTTGTCCGGGAATGATCTTGTAAACTGTTTGTCCGATGTAGGTAAAACCTTTTAAGGGTTAGTAGACATGTTATGTAGATTTGCGGAATCAAGGTCATTTTGTGCGCACGTGCTTGCAAGAGCGTGCACGTGCAACACGTGAAATGACCAATATAATAGATATAGCCACAACTGTTCTATTTTTAGATGAAATGCTTTCAAACTCATAATGTGAGGATATATTAGTAGTATAGACATGACGACATGGTGAAAATAGCAAGATCTCACGCTCATGCACGTGCACTTCGCTCTGATTGGCTGCAACTAAAGTCTCAATATCTTTCTTGTTTTTTGACGAAATCCTTTGAAATTTTGAACATAGCCATGCATTAGGATATCCTACAACATGAAATAAAGCAATTATCATAAAAACACGTGCATGCACGTACGCTGCAATCTGATTGGCTGAAACTTTAAACAGCTATAACTCCCTTGGTTTTCAACCAAACAGGATGGGATTTGGAACATAGATAGATATAATGGACTTCTACAAGTAGGTATGGTCACCATGCACATGCATACACGTGCGTGTACATGTGCTGCAATCTGATTGGCTGAAACTTTAAACAGCTATAACTCCCTTAGTTTTCACCCAAACGGGGTGGAATTTAGAACATAGACAGATGTAATGGTCTTCTACAAGAAGGTATGGTCAACATGCTCATGTATGCACGTGCGTGCACCTGAAATGAGTAAAATCAAACATACACTTGAATGAGCGTATTTTTTAAATAATTTTGTATTAAATACTTTAATATTCAGTGTATTAAAAATAAAGATTGTGTAGATAAGATGATATGGTTAGGACGCAAATGCATTCACATGTGCACGCGTACAATGCTAAAGTTTAAATGATTTGTGTACACTTCTTTGTAAATGTTGTTAAAATCGCAGATGCATAGAGTTTGTCTTATTTAATGAAGCTTACAGGGAATATGGCACCAAAAGGGAGTTGGGGAGCGTTTGGGGAACATCTGTAATGGTCCCCATTACAATTAGCACTAGTTCTATTTATTTTTAAATGCATTATATAATTTATACAGTGGTTAACTATCAAAAAGTGAATTGCAAACTAAGGGGGATAAATTCATACAGAAGAATACAAATCTATAGAGCCAGGACCAGAAGACTTGACCAAATGGTCCAGATATTTAAATTTCTGGTTAAAAATCCTTGATTATTAAAACATTTACCCTTTTCGTTTTATATATTACACTGTAATAACAAGGAGGATATATTCATTTTTCAATGAAATAATAATTTTTTACTACAAATTCAACACAGCCCTACACTTTCACCAAAACCATGACAAAGGGTCATGAATTTCACAGATTTGGAAGAGGAATCCTTTTCATCATATAATTATGCACTTAGTAGAAAATAAAAAAAACTATATTAATCAATAGACCCCCCCCCCGCCGCCAATTAGAAAGAACAGCTCCTCATGCACTCTTCATCAACATCTGCAATCAGAGGCGGATCCAGCCACTTTTGAAATAGGGGGGGGGGGGGTCCAGGCTTGTTTCCCTCTAACCCCCCCCCCTCATACACACGCTCAAGCAAAGATTCACACTGCACATGTATGGGAGGATCTAAGGTTGTGGTAAATAATAAGTTTGTTTACGTCCCTTTTTTTTTCTTTGAAAAGGTACCCCCAGTCCGAATAAAAAAAAACACGTTTCAAAAACTACAGTACTGAAGCCTTGAAATTGAATGGATTTGCACCATTTCCGAAGAGTACAAAGAATTCTCGATTAGAATTTGAAAAAATTTAGGGGTGGGGTGCGGGTGGGGTTTAAATCAAAGCATTACAGGTAAGTTCCTTCAAAAGATATGATTAAAAAACGGTACTAATATAGCCAACACAGCCAAAAATAGCGAAAATATCAAATTAAATCTCACATGTTACTTATCGTATATGAGATATATAAAAATAGGTAGACTATTTTCTACCATTCTCTCATAAAAAAGTAATAGTGAAGGAATAGTAGAGGAAACTAATGTGTGAGAATCTATCTATTCAATACATAAGTAAGACGAACAAATATTTATTCTCGGCAAACTTTTATTCTCTCTTTCTCTCTCTCTCTCTCTCACCACTTGGCAAAAAATAAAGGGGGAGGGTTCCGACCCCCGGAACCCCCCTCTGGATCCGCCAATGGCAATTCCACAACATTTTACAATTATTTAATGCCTGAGCAGTCAATAGACCAGAATATTTTTCCCGAGGTACAGGGAACAGCTTAGTGTGTTCTATTGCCCGAGGCCAGCGGCCCACTATTTTTGGAGGATTTAGCCCTACCCCTCAGGCTCCAGAGGTTCAGGGACCCTAAATTCACAATTTTAATCCCTTTTATCCTTAGATACTACATATGTATATGTCAAAATTGGTTTAAATTTGTTATAGTAAGCGTTTTTAGAGTTGAAAATGTTCAAATTTTAACGCATGACAAACGACTCATAGGTCATCTGAGTGACTCTGGTGACCTAAAACACATATATGAAATATGAAATGAAAATTTAATGCTTGAAAAGAGGCATTCTTTTACCCGATTTTCGAAATGTAATTTTACATGCATTTCAGTCACATATTTTATTAGTATTACGATTCGGCAATTTACAATTTCAATGCTCATAATTACAAACATTTGATGTATTGTATACATGTAATTTCATTGCTTTATTAGTCAATTAAAAATGGTTCTCCATGTTTTCCTGAGTATAAGTGAATACAAATCTTATGTGCATTGCTTGGTACAAAACGTTAAATGCCGAGGTTACTTTTCTATTTAGTCGCTCTCTTGGAGCAGTGGTTTGAGCGTCTGCTCTAGAATCGCGAAGTAAGGGGCTGAACTTAATACGTCGCGGGTTCGAATCTCTCTGTGGGACTTGGAGACCGGTCCTTTGGATGGGGTTGATAAACCGAGGTCCCAAGTCGCAGGAGGCCTTGGTGTTGGCACAAAAAGATCCTTCACTGCTCAATGACCCTAAATCGTGAGTATAAGGTAAGATTTGTAGCTCTCCACCAGCAAGTTGTGCCATCTCCATAAGTGAAAAATTCTCGAGAGGGAGTTAAACAACATAAAATCCATCATTAAAGAACGGAGGTGTACAAGGGACAACCCCGCTCCGAGAAAATACAGTTCTCAATTCCAAAGCTTAATTCATGAAAGCTATATGTTTCACAATTATATGGTTTATATCATCTTTTACGCATTTAATTCTTTATTCCATTGTTTTAATATAATTAATTTTTCAGTCAAGTTTTAAAGATACGTGAAAACAAAAAATATAAATGCTTCACGTATGATTCGAACTCTCTCCATATCGAATGGTTTGGTGCAAGACCGACCGTGTTACATATATGTAGCCACTACGTTACGAAATGAGTTATCGACGTCTCTCAGTATGATTTAAACGAATGGGTCTGTTGAAGCCTACATTTTTTTCTTTAGAAATGTTCGATTTTCTTATAGAATGGGTTCAGATTCCATTTTTTTAAATGACCCATTCATGTTAAAAATTCATTTTTTGATGGCTCTAGTAAACCCATTTTCCACTAAATATGCTTAAAGGTATGTCAATATTGAAAAAAAAAAGATTGTCAAGTGATAAGTCGGTGAGTAAAATAAAATAATACAAGATGTGTTTGTGAAACACTGGTGCCCCCGTATGGCAACAAAGCAAAGATTAATCTTTTCTTAAATGCAAATTTCTTTAATTGGTTCCAAAAGTAGGGTATTCTCACTGGAAAATAATCGTGAAATTTGAAAGTAGGCCAATTTCTAAATTTTTTATATAAGTAAAAAAATCTCCAAGGTCAAAAGGTCAAGGTAATTGGTATCCAATGAAAGGTCTTGCCACATAGAATACTTATGTAGAGTGTGAAAGCCCTAGCCCTAACCGTTCAAAATTATGGTCTGACAAGGTTAATTTTTTTTAAAAGTAGGTCAAACTCCAAGGTCAAGGACTCAAGGTCAAAGGGTCAAACATTCTTGTTGTCAAATGAAAGACCTTGTCTCAAGAATTAAATACGTGAAGTTTGAAAGCGCTAGTCCTAACCCCTTAAAAGTAATGGGCAGGGTTTGCTTTTTTAAAGTAGGTTAAACTCAAAGGTCAAGGTCAAAGGGTCAAAGTACTTGGAATCCAATTAAGGGTCTCTTCATAAGGATCACATATATGAAGTATGAAAGCCCTATCCCTTACCGTTCAAAAGTTAAGGCCAAGGTTAAAGTTTTTTCGCAGGTACAAAAAATCTACAAGGTCACGGTCAAACGGTCAAGGTTGTTGGTATCCGATGAAAGGTCTTGCAACAAATAGTATATATTTTAGTATAAGTGTCCAGGTACCTACTGTTCAAAAGATATGGCCATATTAAAAGTTGAAAATTTCCATGTAAAAGTGGGCCAAACTCCAAGGTGAAGGTCAAAATGTCAAATTTGGCGGTACCCAAAGAAAGGCGTTGTCAAAAAGAATACACAAGTGAAATATGAAAGTCATGGCTCCACTAAATCAAAAGTTATGGGCAAGGTTGAAGTTTTTTGCGGACAAACAGACAAACAGCTAGACAGACAGACAGCTAGACAGAGAGACAGACAGACGGATGGACACGAAAACAAGAGGCCCATGGGCCACATCGCTCATCTGAGAAGCTTTGGCCATTCTGTTCTTTACCAGATTTCCCCCTTGTAATACATATTGTGACCCCATCTTACCCCATTGATCATAATTTAGACAATTTGAAATCTACACTACCCCAGGATGCTTCCACATAAGTTTAAGCTTTTCTGGCCCAGTGGTTCTTGAGAAGAAGATTTTCAAAGATTTTTCCTATATATTTCTATGAAAAACTTTGATTCCCCATTGTGGCCCCGCCCTACCCCGGGGGTCATGATTTGAACAAATTAGAATCTACACTACCCTAGGAGGCTTCCACATAAGTTTCAGCTTAACTGGCCCAGTGGTTCTTTAGAAGAAGATTTTTCCTATATATTTCTATGTAAAACTTTGATTCCCCATTGTTGCCCCGCCCAACCCCCGGGGGTCATGATTTGAACAAATTAGAATCTACACTACCTGAACATGCTTCCATATAAATATTATGAATTATTGCTTTTTTATTCTCGAGAGTAAGATTTTTAAAGAATTTTCTTGGATATTTCTATGTAAAACTTTGGTCGGCCATTTTGGCCCCACCCTACCCCGGGGTTTCATGATTTGAACAAACTTGAATCTACACTAACCTGAACATGCTTCCATATAAATATGATGAATTATGGCTTTGTCATTCTTGGGAAGAAGATTTTTAAAGAATTTTTCTATATATTTCTATGTTAAACTTTGGTCGGCCATTTTGGCCCCGCCCTACCCCCGGGGGTCATGATTTGAACAAACTTGAATCTACATTACCTGAGCATGCTTCCATATAATTATGATGAATTATGGCTTTGTCATTCTTGAGAAGAAGATTTTTAAAGAATTTTCCTGAATATTTCTCTATAAATATATTGTTCTCTATAAGCTACTTTCTTTAAGAATTATTGTTACCAATTGTACACTCTATCAGTGATTTAGTCCTTCATCAAAATTCTTTGAACAGTACTATAAGACAAAGTAAAAAGTTTCTCATAGTTATAATGTATCACTCATATATACCGCGTACATGTAACACGAATCTCTTCTTTTGACAACGTTGACGCCATTGAACGTTTCCACCCGACCTCGTATCTTTCGGTCTTTTTGTCCTCAGCTGATCAGTTCATTACCCACAACCCGCCCAAAATGTTTGAAACCATAACAAGTCTCGTTTTCACTTTATTTCCTCTGCAAGTGTGTTTCTACATTTCCTTTCTTCAATACATCAGATATAAACAACAATGTTTATGATAAAAATAAAAAATAAAAATGTCGCCATTTTATTGTAAAATATAGACGAGAAATTGTCGTCAATTTTGTCTTTTTTTTTAATATTTGGCAATTAGACGTTTAAATGTTTTTTAAATGCCTTTGTCTTTTTTATTCTAACAATAAACACTTTAAAACGTGACGTTTAGTTTGACGCGGTGACACCCAATATGCTGAATGTTTTAAACGTCTAAAAATGAATTCAATTAAACATTATTAAATGAAATTTTCAATTTTGATTAGATTTCTTTTTCTGCATCTTTTGGTGTATTATATTTGATAATGCGACGCCAAATATTAAAGATAAGGACACAGTGACATTACTTTTGGATCAACCCTCGTATATTTGCCATTTGCATTGTATAATTTTTCATTTGCAATGTATATTTTCCATTTGCATTATAGGTACATGTTGTATCCGAGGGATTTTTTATTTTGGTCTTTTACGAAGGATTTCATTGGTTGCAACGGGCGAGCGTGATCCGATTGCAAATTTCCATGACACAGAGCTATTTTTAGTTTCTTCCTTATTTATCTTCATGATCAATATTTATTTTATCAAAATCAAACACTCTAGTTGGGAGGACTTTATTGTTGATCTTATGAAAAACTTAAATTTGACACTGTTGTATACCGTACGATTTTTCATGTTTAGTAGGTATGACTTAACAGCATACGTAAAAATCCTTGTAAACTCTTCCCTCCAATATGTCAGATGAATGTTTGTAAACAAACTTCAGTGCACTTGATTACCTGAATTTAGTACACATGCATCACACATTTAGTATTCGGTAATTTAAGCACAAAAAATTATAGCAAAGGATACCGCAAGCCAATATCTATATTTATACTTTACAAACAAGATACATATATACATGTATTTATATTATTTACCTTTCGATTCAACATGTTCAATATGGATCCTGGGCCCGAAAGTACGTTTTAAGTTAAGGGTTGGTTTGATTCGCTGAAACAAGAAACCCATTAGATTTTAAAAAGGGTTTTATTCTACAATTTCTAGTTTACTTTTAGTATTGTCAATCACCCCAAGGCAATTCCGATGATCAGAGAAAAATTGACATTACATTGTTTATTATCAAATATCAACATAAAGACTTACTTTCATATTCCTGTTAAATACATATTATCTATTTAAAAAAAATGTAAGTATAATTTCTCTCTCAATAAATAGTACTAGTATGTGTACAATGTTGTGTCCACGATGTACATATACAACTGTATATGGAGTCTGCTGTACCTGGTTTGTAAACCCCTATTTTCCCTGATAGTATCATTGTTCGAAATATCATGAAATTGATTTACTGGACGAATTTGATAACGTCAACGCTTGTTTTACAAGATTCTTTAAAAAATTGAAAAAAAAAGATTAAATCTTGTATTAATACTTGTTAATTTTTAATCATATTTCTTATCAGACTACATTATTTATTTAAATTTATTACACCTTAAAAGTATTTTTTAATTAAGATTTTAATATTTACTCCGCAAAAAAGGTCCCTGAAAACTTTGAAAATCAGTCGTTTTGAGGGATTATAGATTTCAAATAAAATCGATAATTACGAGGGGTTATCAAAAAGTTCGTGGATTAGCGCCATAAAATTAAAACCGCTCAAGGTACATCAATGAATTTTTCAATAAATAGTAAGCATCATCTTTTCTATCCAAAGAATAAACCACAACTCATGAATTGTATTTTTTAATAAATTAGTAATGTTTTTGTAAGCAATGGTATGTCCAAGCCGCGCAACCTCGAAAACGACATTTTTTTAACTATGTGTAACTGAGAAAAACTCATTTGATATAATTATTTGACATCCAAAAATCCCGTTAATTCAGGTATGTGTCGGGACACGATTGCTGTACTAAATATAAAATTTTGACTTCATTCTGGAAGTTCTATATGAAATGTTATCGTAAATTTTACACGGAATGTCTAAACAAATGCGGCCTTGAAAATGACGTCAAAAGGGGGGAGGGGTTTCCGTTTCCAACATTATATAGTTTTGCCCCTGAAAAAAAATAGTATAGACCTAAAATGTGTTGAAACTGGCTACATAGAAATAATATGCATCCAGAGTACTTGTCTTTTAATGTCAAAATAGATTCAGAGAATAAAGGGATGCACAGTTAATGTCGATTTGCAAGTCAAGGTGTGAAAAATCAATCCCGTCAAAAATGACGTTGATCATGTGATGTAGAAATTGAACTCCCAAAAGTAAAATATGCCGGCACAATCAAGAACGGATCTTTCCCAATGTTAATCCATCAGGAATATTATATTCATTGAGGTCCACTGTTAATGACATTGTAAAGTCATAAAAAACAAGGCGGGTTTAAGACCTTACTCAGCTCTAGGGAATCTCATCAAAAAAGTGTATGAGGTAGAAGAAGATGACATTGAAAAAAAAAAAACAATGACGTTATCGGACGTCATTAAAATAAACGACGACAGCGCCGGGTAATCATATAATGTCGTTTTTATTTTAAAATAATTCGTCAAATAATGAACGTATCAGGCTAAAATTTTCAACATTTCTCTATTTTGTGTTGTTTTATGTTCCATATAAATTTTAAAAGCACGGACTACATAGTACTAATTTTATAGCCTCAGTCCACGAACTTTTTGATAACCCCTCGTACAATAATAAATTACTATTTCAACTTCAAATTTCCACCGCTTAAAATTTGTACAAGAATTTGTACAAGAATCTTGTACAACGAGCGTTGACAGAGGTGTGTGTGGGAGCTTAGCGGGAATGACAACTCTGGATAGAGAATGGGAACGACAAAACTTGAACAAATGGATGGCGCATGTTGCCAAGTTAATTTTCATCTAGATACAAAGGTTTTCTAAAGGTGTCACTTGTAAGTAGAAATTTGGGCGTCAGGATTAATGCGCTCAGGACAACAAATACCCGTGGAGCTTAAATAGTACATTTCATGATCTGCACCCAAAAAGGCATTCGTTTTGCTTCATATTTTTCATAATGTTAAAAGAATTGCATCTTCTGCATGTTCATATCCAACATTAACAAAACTGTTATTTATCAGAATTCGGGAATTTACATGTATAATGTACTTTTGCGAAGACACTGATTTTTACAATGGACATTTAGACCTGAGTCATGTACGGAGATACGGAATGGAAAGTGCATAAGAAAACATTCATTGAGGTGAACGTTATTCTATTTGGGGCTTTGAAATAATTTATCAGAAAAAATATAATTGGGGGTAGAATAAAATTTATTTAGATACTTTATGTTACGACACCCTGATGAGCTACAGTCTCGATAGAGGCTACTAGTTTGTGATAGCAACCGTTTAGGTCATAGTTCTTAAGTGCTTTCAATCATTCTATTTTGCTTTGTTGAACGACGTACATAGAGGATATTCAATGGTTTGTAGTTGAATATGAAATTTATTTCACGAGTGGGACAGGATTTTCGAGTGAAAATATCAAAAAATCCTGTCTCACGAGTGAAATAAATTCCATATTCATCTACAAAACATTGAATTTTCTGTTTATTACATTTTTAAATAAAATCCTTTGATTTTTCTTTTGCCTCTGTCTTTTTGTAATACAGTCACAGGCTCGTGACGTTATAGTTGAGCGGTTGAGACGTCATAGCTATGTGAAGTGAAAACACTGTAACCATTGATTTAGCAACATAATGTTGGTAATTTAGACAGTTTTATTCGCTGTCAGAATGGTTTATTTATTTCCATCTATCTTATATTAGGTCAAGGAAGATATTTTTATAGTAATATTCGTTATTGAAAGGGAAATCGAGAGTTTTCCCGCACTTCTGATATTCGTCACACTGTGACGGGATTTCATTTTGATATCCTTTCACACTGTGACAGGATATCATTTTTATTCAATGAATAAATTACAGTATTTCACGGGTAAAAATGTAATAAAGAGTATTATTTTAATTAAGGAATCACTGTCCAGATTGTTGGATATAACAGGGCATCAACGATAGTTTGAAACGTGGGATAATTTGCATCACAAGAGAATGATCCCGCATTTCCATATTTCATAAATGTCCTGGTATACCCGACAAACTAGACTGGTGTTTGGCCGTTATGAAATTATCCGAAGTTCCCAACTACATTGAATAGTTGATGTTCATGAGATACCTAAAATACTGAGATTTACTTAACTCTAAGATTCTTCAGAATAAGAGTTTTTCTCTCTAATCTTTGCCACTAAATGAATGTTTCCTCGAACGCAAGCTTATCTTTTGACTTGTTTTTCTCAAATCTGACATTTTTATATGTTGATGGCCCTGAAGCCTGAAAAGAGGAGATAGGACAGCTTCCTAAATGATCATAAAGTAAAAATTCATATGCATAATTTTATAATTCATTTATATTTTCCCAACAACCGGGCATCTATCAGGCACACCAGTTTAATATTACATGTAATATTCTATTGTTCTAGCTTTCAATGAAAGTAGGGATAATAATATTGGTCTCCGTCTGTCAGGCTGTATTTGTATTGTTCTGTCTATAACACTCGATCTCGTGGGGTTTTTTTTGCCAGTAGCTTTCAACTGTTGAAATTGATGAATTTTACAGATCGCCATGGCCTTAGAAAGACGTGTTTTTTTTAGTTCAAAGTTCAATCAAGTTTTCAAATTTATAAAAAAAAAATTCCAACACTTTCGTTTTCTCGTGTTTTCTAAAGAACCCTTTGAACTTTTACAATAAAACTACGTATTTCATCACTGCCTTAAAGACTCCTGTTAATTTTGAGGTCAAAAGTCAAGGTCGAAATTCATTCATCTGTGTGTGTAAGATTTTAATTTTCATGCAATATCTAATGAATTCCATACCATAACTCGGTTACTATAGTTAAAAATTCCCCCATCAACCTTCCTTTGTCCTTAAACGGAAAACACAGCTTCTCTGAATTAGTTAATTATTCATATGTTAAATCAATCGTTCTTAATCAATTAAATTCTAAGATTCGGATTGTTCGGGTAGATTTTTGATTTCCAGAATTCGCCATACTGACCTAATTTAATGATAAAATGCAACATCCTTGGCATATCTGTGTTCCACTGATGCTGGAAACCCTAAGAGTTTTTTTTCTGTATGCTGATAATTTTATTAAAATATTTTTTTTTACATAATCGTCATTTAAGGACAGATGATACAAACAAATCTTTTCTTTGAAAAAGATTTAATATTGTAGCCAGGTGTTGGATGTGGGATCCACCTATTGGTATTTGTGGCTAGTTCATTGTTTGTCTGTAATGGCCCACTTCAATGCTAAAAACTCTAACTTGTGAGCAGGATAGTTTCGCTCAGCTGGTCTTAACCCTCTGCTTGCATAGGCGATTACCTTATCTACCCCATCTTGTCTCTGATACAACACCGCACCAAGTCCATGACTGCTGGAATCTGTGTGTACAATAAATGGCTTGGTGTAGTCTGCGTATGCTAACACTGGTGGCTGGGTAAGTAAATCTTTGATCATCTCAAATGCTGTTTGATGGATAGTTTCCCATTTCCATGCTGGTTCTTCATGTTTCTTTCTGAATTTTCTTACTGTGCTGTGCCCCTGTAACAAAGAATTTAGAGGTTGGACTATCTGCGAATAATTCTTAATAAACCTACGATAATACCCTGAGAATCCTAAAAACTGCCTCAGCTCTTTGATATTCTGTGGTGTTTTCCATTCTTTAACTGCTGATAACCTTTCTGGGTCTGCGGAAATTCCGTGTTCTCCAACGACATGGCCTAAATAGGTGACTGATGATCTGAAAAATTCGCATTTAGAAGGTTTAAGTTTTAAATTATGTTCTGAAAGTTTTCCAAAGACTGATTCTAATCTACTGATGTGGTCTTCAAATGTTTTCGAAAAAATCAAAATGTCGTCCAAGAA